AAATCTATAGCTGGTCAGTCAGAAGCGTGATTGACAACCTGGGCTTGCAACTGGTATCTGAGGTGGGACTTGTCTTGTAGGACTGAGCCCGTAACCTGTGGAATCTGATGCTTTCTCCAGGTAGATCGTGTCAGAATCGAGACACCCAGCTGGAGTCCGGAGACATTGTTGGTGTGGAAACAACCCCCCTCCCACCACACACACATGTTGGAATTGGGTCCAGAACCTTTAAATTCTTATGGCAACGTGCTCATGAAACAGCTAATATTAGCATCCTTATTTTTCAAGTGAGACAACTGAGGTTAGAGAATATAAGTATCTTGCCCAAGTAGTAGTCAATACACACCATACAAGGATTCAAACTCAGGTCAGTATCATTCCAGAGCCTAATTTTTAATGGAGACAAACTATACTGCCTTTGGAACGTGATGAGCAAAGGCAAAGAGGTGGGTTACAGCATACTGTCCACGGGTAACTACAAAGAGTACTGTTTCTGGATGGTAACATGGGAAACAGAGAACAGTTAAACATTACATGGACAATTTTATGTACCATGAGAAGTGGATGTTATCCTGGGGTAAATGATCTCAAAGGGTTTTAAGCAGAGAAATGCCGTAGTAAGATGTGATTTATATAAATACATTCTATTTGGTCCCACCACAGTAATGTGAAAAAAACAGAGAAAAAGACTAGTTAGGAAACTCTAATGGTAATCCAGAGAGAACGTGGTGGGTCTCTAAAGTAGGTGGTGGAGTGGAGATGGAGAAAAGTGGGATGATTGGAGAAATAGTGGAGAGGTAAGTACAACAGGACTGGTTGATCTAATGGCCATAATGATGATGAAGCAGTAGTCGTCAAGATGACTCCAGGTCTCGGGTTGGAATGACTGGGTGGATGTTGGTGTCTCCAACTGAAACAAGAACACAGGGAGAAGAACTGTTTGGGAGGAGGAGCCAACATGTTGGGTCTCTATGGCTTGAGACTATGAGTCTAGTCTAATGCAATGGAATCCTAATTACATAAGCTATTTCCCATTTTTACGGAAGCTAGTTTGAATTGGTTTTGAAATGCCTCAGGGTTATACCTGCTACAGCTGGATTCAGGGATTCAACCAAAGTTACAAGTAATCTTTCTTTTGGTCTCTCAGATCAAATTTCCTCTGTCAGCTCACTCTTGGGCTCATTCTTTATGGTGGTGATAATGTTGACAACTCCAGGCTGTAATGTCCACTTATCATCATAGCTGAAGGTGCCCCTTGTTTTTTAACAACCATGTCAGCTCCTGGAAAGGAACTCTAAACAGCTCTCACTGGGGTCACATGTCTGCTCCTGGAAAATCACTGAGTGGAGGGGAGGAGAAACTTTGAACAGTGATTGGTGGATTACATGTCCTTTCCTCTGGTGGGAGGAAGTAGGGTCAGGGAAATCTCTCAAAGGAAAAGGAGTCCCATTACCAAAAGAGGAGCTTTGTCTCATGGACAGGCCGAAGCAACAGAAATCCATGCCATGGGAAAATATCCATGCCGGGGTTGGTTATGTGACTGTGGAATACAGAGGGAGAGGTCAAGGTTGGGGTAGACGTGGAGGTCATCAGCAACACGTAGTTAAAACCCAAGGAAAGCATAGATATTAAGACAACTATTAGGTAAAGGATGAAAGAAGTCAGGGCACATCACCCCTTAGGATAGGAAAGGGAGGAGGAACGCAAACTAGAGATAACACAGAGGAGGGGGATTACGTGCTGAGGAATGGATGAGCATCGTCTCACTGAGTTTAATTCTCACTACAATGCTAAGAGGAAGGTAGAAGGATTTTTTCCACTTTAGGAGAGGAAGAATTTAAATCTTATCTATTTGTCTTGCCCATGGCCCAACACAAGCCTGACAAGTTGTGGAGCTGGAACTGGAAGCTTCAGTTGTGAGGCTCCAAACTCTGTTCTACTAGAAGTCGTCCTGAGAGTCCCCACTGAGGGCCAGGCATGTACACTGTTCCAGATGTTTTCTCCTCCCATCCGGGAGGATTAAACTTTTAAACACATGCTTTCTTCTTGGCGGTAAATAATGCCTTTGCTCCACAAACAAAAAAACAAATTAAAAACAGTTTTGACCACTCTTGCTTCAGAAGTCATACTTACGCAAACATTCACAATCTGTCCTTGATTAAGTGGGTCTGTTACAGACTCCAGGAAACCTAGAAATGTAGAATATGTGAGCTAAGAAGATCATTAGAGGGGCTCGCCCCGTGGCCATGTGGTTAAGTCGGCGTCTCCACTTTAGTGGCCCAGGGTGTCGCTGGTTCAGATCTTGGGCGTGGACACGGCACCGCTCATCAAGCCAAGTGAGGCGGCATCCCACACAGCACAACCAGAGGCACTCACAACTAGAATATACAGCTATGTACTGGGGGGCTTTGGGGAGAAGACGAAGAAGAAAAAAAAGAAAAGATTGGCAACAGATGTTAGCTCAGGTGCCAATCTGGAAAGAAAATTTTTTTAAAAAAAGATCATTAGAAATTACCCTACAAGGGAACCAGTGATGGATTCCAGTGGGATCTAGAAACACTTGGAATTGAATATAGAATTATGTTTGTACATAATGGGCTTCTCTTCTGGGAAGAGGATCGCTAAGTTCCTTTGGATTTTCAAATAAGTATAAGAACCCAAATATCCTAAATTTGCAGACGTGGAAATTGGTCAAGACCCCATGGGTCTCAATGTCACACCATGAGGCTTCAGTAGAATCAGGCCTCTTGATTTCCAAAGCATGACACCTTCATGAAACCTCTGCCTGTAAGAATACTGTCAGTGTCTGAAAGAAAGGCCCTGGCCCTGACATAGATTTTGTGGCCATCCAGGGTTTCTCTTGCAAAGTCATTCCTTGAAAAAAGAAATTTTTACTAAACTGTCATGTATAAGCACAGGGAGAGTTAGGTGTGGGCTTGACTATTTCAAGGCTGGGGACTGCACAGAAAGGCCGGCACTGTTGCCTTTCCAGCTCCTACCCCTTGAGCATGAAGAGGAGGGGGTGGGGGAGGCCTTCACATGGGAAGCCATGTCAGCTGAGGCACGAAGAGGAGAATGAGAGCAGGAAGAGCCTTGGTTCATGCTATGGTCTGAATATCTGTGTCCCCTCTGAATTCCTATGTTGAAATTCTAATCCCCAAGGTGACGGTATTAAGAGGTGGGGCCTTTGGAAGGTGCTTAGGTCATGAGGGGGGAGCCCCATGATGGGATCAGTGCCCTGAGTGAAGGACCCCACAGAGCTACCTCACCTCTTCCACTACATGAGGACACAGCAAGAAGTCTGCTCCCCAGAAGAGAGCCCTCACCCGACCATACTGCCATCCTGACCTCAGACTTCCTGCCTCCAGGGCTCTGAGACATTTATGCTGTACCAGGTACCTTTGTTTTCTTTTCCTCTTTTTCCCCCATTTAGAAATGGCCCCTGAATACAGAGTTCAGAAGGAAGATTATTTTGTATTTCTCTCAGTTAACGTTTGATCCAGGACAGAAATAATTCACTGTGGCAGCACGGATATTTGGGGACTCCATTTTGACATTTATGTAGTTAAACTTGAGCTTCTGTGCTATAGTTGAGAAGCTGAGCAATAATCATTACTTTCACAGAATGAAACCAATACCCAGTGTCATGAAATATATTACTAATAGTTCTGCTAATTTAACAGCAAATGTTTATCATGCACTTACCACGTTCCAGGAACAGATCTAAGGCAGATGTACTCACTGGCTCTTGCTATCGAACCTCTAAAGTAGGGACCAATAACACACCCACTGCACAGGTGAGGACACCGAAGCAGAGAGCAGATGAATATCTTGTACGAGAGCACATAAATAGTAAGAGATGGTGCCGGTCCTCCAATCTAGCCAGCCTGTCTCTGGAGCCTGTGCACGCTCTTAACTTCTGCACTGTATGCTTAAGTATTACAGACTGGGAGTTAGAGACCGTGACACGTGCTCCAAGACCAGCTGTGCGTTTACTGTATGACTTTGAGTAGGCAAGTCTTGAGCAAATTGAAAATGTAAGTTTTCATCATTCTCTTTTGAGGATGAGAACGTTCTAGTATCTGGGCACAGACCTGTCTTTCCTGTATGAAGATGAGGCTACTGGAACACCATCGCAACAAGCCTGAATTGTTTTTTCTGTCACGTTCACTAAACCTTCCTGAAAAAGCACTCATAATGCATTCAAATCACCTCTTATATGTTTTCAGGACAATGACATCCAAACCACTTTATGTACGTCTCTTGGGGAAAATGGTCTCCTTTTTCATGTTTGACATCATTTGTTGCTTCAGATTCTTCTGATGGCAAGGGAAGGCACCTTTGGAAGTGGAATGCTTGTGACTTTCAGCCAAATTTACTAGGTTGTAAAACATATCTTGACTAGTCTAGTGAAGTTGATGCAGTTTCCGTATAGACCTAGGTCAAGTTCAATCGAGCTTAGGTTTGGGAAAGCTCTGGATAAGCATTTAACAGTTTCTGGAATAACAGCGTTAAGGGGTCCTTACGCATTCATCTGACTTGTATTCCCTTAAAGTCACTACCATAAACCTTTTACCTTAGAAGTTTGCTTACCACCCAGCACTGAATAAGCCACCTCTTTACTCTCTTGACGTTGGCAAATAGACGAGTATGGATTAGTCAAGGAGCACTGGGTGTGCTTTTCCTCACTTCAGCCTTTCAGGAATAGGACGACACTAGTAGGAGTCATGTTGAGAAGTGCTGACGCTTGCTCAGGTTATGGTCTATCACTTGGTCCCTGGGCTGTCTCAGAAGCCTGCTGTTGATGCCGTTATTGTTTCAAACTGTTCCTGCCTCCAGTCTTCCTCCTCCTTCTCTGTACTGTGGTCAAAATCATCTCTCTAAAGTGCCCCTCCCACAGTCCACTGCTGGGTCCCACTGGGTCAAGTCCTGGCTCCTGAGTGTGACCCACCAGATCCTTGTGTCATGGCCTTGTATCCTCACAAAATCTCACCTTTTAGCAATTTTTTAGAGCTCTTTATTTTGATATAACTTCAAAATTGCAGAAACATTGCAGTAGTATAAAGGATTCCATATAGCTTTTACCCAGATTTACAAATTGTTTACATTTTTACTGTTTTCTCTGTAAGTGTATATATTTATGTACACACATACATATATAAACACATGTGGGTACACACACATTTTTCCTAAACTATTGGAGAATAAGTTGGAGACATCAAAGTCCTTTAGCCCTAAGCATGCCCATATGTATTTCCCAAGAACAGCAACATTCTCTTACATAACAGTACAGTGATCAAATTCAGAAAATTTAATACTGACATTATCTAATTCATAGCCCACACTCAAAGTTCCATCAATTTTCTTAATATCTATTATAGCTCCACCCCCCATCCCAGCACAGGATCCAATACAGGATCACATGTTGCATGTTGTCATATCTTTAATCTGGAATAGTTCCTCATCCTTCCTTTGATATTTTTGAAGAATAACAGTCTCTTTTTCTTGGTAGAATATCTGTCAAAGTAAAAAAAAAAAGTTAAGTCTGTCTGAGGTTTTTTCATGGTTCAGGTTATGCACAGCAGGAATGCCACAAAAGTGTTGTCATGTCCTCCTCAGTGCCTCTCACCAGAACCACGTGATACTGGGAATGTTAACTCTGAGCAATTGGTTAGAAGGGGCCTGTCAGATTTTAAAGTTACTATTTTTCCTTTTGGAAGCAATAGGCAATTTGTGGGGAGGCACTTTGAGACTCTGTAAATGTCTCATCAGACTTCCATCCACTCGTGCTAGTAGCCATTGCTGGTTTAATGCCATTGTGTCTTCTATATTACTTGTTATTCTATCATAAACAAGAGCTTTCCCTATTTATATATTTACTCAATATTTGTATATGTATAGATTCATGGAATCCTTTTTTAATGTTTATAATTCATTCCTGTTATCATTTATCTTGCCATTCACATTTTCCCAGAGTTGGCTAGACAGAACTTCTTTAAGCTGGCCTATGTATACTTTTGATATGTCCCTATCATTCTTTGAGCACTTTGTTACTTTCTGGCACAAGATGTTCCAGGTTCATCATGTACTTTCCTTGTCCTGATCCTTAAATCAGCCTTTTCTCCAAGACAACTTTTAGTTGAGAATGATATATATAGGCACTAGGTGTACTCAGTGATACCCGCGGGTCATTAATTGTAGGCCCTCGGAGCAGATAGAGCAAATACACACACACACATATAGATACATACACAAAGAGAACCATTGTCCTAGAACAGAGGGAGCAAACTTCTTCTTAAAGGGCCAGCTTGGTGGCCATAAGTTCTCCGCCAATGTGGCACAAAGCAACGATGGACAATACATAAACAATCATAACTATGTTCAGACAAAACTTTAGAAAAACAGGCCACAGGCCATAATTTGCTGACCCTTGCTCTAGAACCATAATATATCCCAGGCATGTGGCCTGCGTGGCCACTGTGGCAGCAGCTTAATCTGCTGCAGATTGCTTTCTTATTCTTGGCCCCACTCAAAACTGGCACCCTTGAGTCAACCCAGTAGTGGGTTGGAGCAATATTCCCAAGCATAGTGTATGGTCTTTTCAAATCCAGAAGACGTACCTAGTACTGGCCCTTTTGATTCATGGAAGAAAGTGTGTACAAGATGCAATAACCACTATGACTCTAAAAATTTCACCAATATAGTGGGGATTTCTCCCACTCACTGGTGCAAATATGCCTTAGCAGGGTTTCCACAGCGCTGACCGTTTTCTCCTTTCCAGGTCAGATTATCACAATGTCATCAATATAGTGGATTGGCATGCTTTATTATTCCCTTCCTTCTGCTAACGTTGGGCTTAGTTTGTTCTTTTTCAGTTCCCTGAGGCGTAAACTGGTTTGAGATCTTTCACTTTCCTTAATGTAGACATTTATCATGTAAATTTCCCTCTTAGAACTGCTTTTGCTGCATCCCATAAGTTTTGGTATGTTGTTTCTATTTTCACTTGTCACTAGATACTTTTTAAAAATTTGGCTCATTGGTTATTCAGGAGTGTGTTGTTTAATTTCCACATGTTTGTGAATTTTCCAATTTTCCTTCTGTTATTGATTTCTAGTTTCATACCATGTGGTTAGAAAAGATACTTGGTATAGTTCAATTTTCTTAAATTTGATAAGACTTGTTTCATAGCCCAACATATGATTTATCCTGGGGAATGTTCCATGTGTGCATAAGTATATCTATTCCGCTGTTGGATGGAATACTCTGTATATGTCTGTTATGTGGATTTGATCTAGAGTGTTATTTAAGTCTGCTGTTTCCTTATTGATTTTTTGTCTGGATGACCTATCCATTGTTGAAAGTGGGCTATTGAAATCCCCTGGTATTGTATTTTATTGTCTATTTCTCCTTCAGTTCTGTTAATATTGGCTTAATATATTTAGGTACTCCACTATGGGGTGCATACATATTCACAATTATTAAATCCTCTTGAATTGACCCCTTTACCTTTATATAATGACCTTCTTTATCTCTTGTCTAAGTACAGGCATCCCTGCTCTCTTTTGGTTACCATTTGCATGGAAAATCTTTTTCTATCCCCTCACTTTCAGCTTGTATGTGTCCTTAAGGTGACTCTTTTATAGACAGCATATTGTTGGATCCTGTTTAATCCGTTTTTTAAGCCACTCATTGTGTTGGAGAATTTAATCCATTTACATTGATAGTAATTATTGATAGGTAAGGACTTACTATTGCCATTTTGTTGTTTTCTTACTGTTCTGTAATTCCTTTCTTCCTCTGTGATTTCTTGAATTTTTTGCCATGATGTGCTTTGACCCCTTTTTCTTAATCTTTTGTATATTTATTAGATGTTTCCATTTAATCTTTATATCAACTCCATAAGGTGGGAACTATTAGTATTCCCATGTTATATATGAGGAAATAGGCATAGAAGCTAAGTATGTTCAAGTTTACAAGGCTAACGAATGACAGAACTAGAATATAAATCCATGGGATCTTGCCCCAGGTTTTAAGTACTACATGAACTACTGGAAACTAAACCTACCTGGTGGGGAGAGGTAGCTATTACTATAATTACTGAGTCCTCTCCATGTTAAATTCTATGCAAATGTGGAGGAATCTAGCAACACAGTCGCTTGTCATCTTTGGCTTCTTTGCCTCAAAACTGTGTGTTCATGGAATGTGCACCTTAGGATTCTTAGATTTAGCAAATAAAAATTAAAATGCCCAGTTAAACTTGAATTTCAGGTAAACAATGACTACGTTTTTGGTATAAATATATCCCATACCCTGTTTCGAACATATGCTACAAAAAAGTAGTTGTTCATCTGATATTCAAATTTAACCAGACATCCTGTATTTTATCTGGCAACTCTACCTTAGCTCTACCCAGTAGGTATACCACAAAAGGTTACTTGATGGTTTTCCTACTGAACATAACCATATCTCTGATAAGCAGTGAATACTCAAAATATATAAGGAACTCATACAATTCAACATCAAAAAAAAAAACACCCAAACAATCTAATTAAAAATGGACAGAGAAACTAAATAGAAATTTTTCCAAGGAAGACATACAAATGGCCAACAGGTATGTGAAAAGGTGCTCTACATCACTAGTCATCAGGGAAACGCAAATCAAAGCCACAATGAGTTATCACTCATACCTGTTGGAATGGCTATCATCAAAAAGACAAGAAATGTCGGCAAGGATGTGGAGAAAAGGAAACTCCTGTGCACTGTCGGGGGGAATGTAAATTGGTACAGCCACTATGGAAAACAGTATGGAGGTTCCTCAAAAAATTAAAAGTAGAACTATCATGTCATCCAGAAATCCCACATTTGGGAATAAATACAAGGGAAATAAAATCAGTAACTTGAAGAGATATCTGCATCCCCATGTTCATCGCAGCGCCATTTACAATAGTCAAGATAAGGAAACAACCTAAGTATATATCGAGATGAATGGATAAATAAAATGTAGTGTATATATGTACATTTGAATATTATTTAGCCATAAAAAGGAAATCCTGCCGTTTGCAACAACATGGATGAACCTGGAGAACATTATGTTAAGTGAAATAAGGCTGAGTAGCATACACCATATAATACTATATTCTTGAAACTTGCTAAGAAAGTATATCTTAAGAGTTCTCATCACAAACAGAAAAGGCAACTATGTGAGGTAATGTGTTAATTCACTTGATCACAGTAATCATTTCACAATATATAGGTCTATTACATCATGTCATTTACCTTAAAAAACCCATTACATTGTACAACGTAAATATATAGAATTTTTATTTGTCAATCATACCTCAATAAAGCCGGGGAATTTTTTAAATATGGAATGAGTTAATACATGTGACACATGTAGATCGATGCCTGGTGCATAGTAAAGTCTCAAAAAATGGTAGCTATTACTATTATTACTGTGGTTCTCACTGTGTTTACACTCTTTCACTTGACTTATTTCACTTCCTTGCCTCAAGTCTCTCTGGGAGAATGGGACTAATGTGGAGTTCATTCTAAAGGTGCTGGTGAGTTTTTAATTAACTTCTTTTATTTCTCCCCAGTCTGAACTGTAAAAGTACAACAGCTAATATTTGCTAAATGCTTACTGTGACAGGTGCTGTGCTAAAAACAGTCCATGAGTTGTTGGATTAGTGAAATAACCTAAAAGGTTAGTACCTTTATTATCCCAACCTTATACATGAGGGACCCCAGACTCAGGACACGGCTGGGGAGTGGCCAAGCTCAGGAGCAACCCCAGCCCAGTCTTTCCCCCAAGGTTGAGCCGCTAACTACTGTCCTGCCTTCCCAGGGCTCCTCATTGCTTCTCCTCGCGTCATCCCTCCCTTTCCCCTTAAGGTCTATTCAAATCCTACCTGCCCTCTACCGTTTACTTCTACCCTTTCAAATAAGTCTTAGCGGCCTATGCAAGGCTATTTTGACCTCTTCTTTGATATCCTGAGAGATGAGGTTAGAGAGACAAGAAATGAAGAAAACTGTTTTGTTATTTTAAAGGACTTTCCTTCCTGGAATTCAATCCCTGCTATTTCCTGCACTTACACACCAGATGGCAGTGTTCAATTAGTAAAAGAAAAATCCTTGGCTACAGACCTGTCGTAAGGGATAAAGGCATTAAACTAATTCTCAGTTGCTCTTGGAGCCCTTAGAGCTTGCTGGAGGGACTTTGTAAACTATCAACATTTGTAAGTCGTGCTGCTGCTATATGGTGATAGTAATTCTGAGAGCTAGTGCAAATGTGGACCAATGCTCCATTAGTGACAAGGAAACACATCCAGAGCAAGTACAGATGGAAAGTCATGGAGTCTACAAGTGGCTGGCCCAGGTCTTCTGCCTCACTCTGCACTGTTCATAGCATTGTATTTTTGTGAACTGAAAGAATATTAAAGAATTTTTTCTTTCCAATCTTCCTCTCAGACAGGAAAGCTTTCTTGCCCGTTGACCCACATTCCTGGCTCAGCCTCCCC